AGAGTATGAAGACTCGATGTTGAACTTGGGGTCCACATCTGCTGCTTTTATACTTTTTGGCTACATAGTAAATATAATGGTCTATATCTTTTACATATACAAGATATTTTACAACTTACTATTAATAAAATAAACAGCAATTTTTTTCGTACATCAGTTTGTGTAACTTCGCGTACATCAAATTTTAGTTCAGCCAATCAAATTGCGACATTAGCAGGAACATAGTACGAAGTACGTAGTGTATGGTTTATTGGCGTTTAAAATGATGTATGTGATTCTGAGTATCTGATTGGATACTTCGTCCTCGTGATTTTATCATACGATATTTTTTGTGTACTAAAAAATGTTACACATTCCAGAAGCACTGTTCTGATATAATCCATTACTATTGAATTTCACTTTATGGTTATTAACTTTACTATTGACTGCCTTGACTTTTAAATTTATTATGTACGTCAGTTTATAACTCGGTTTTACTTGTTTATTTGTGGTTTCGCTTGTATTGTTGATTTGTGTATTTTGTCACATAAGATATCTTCTATTTTATTCCAATGCAGATTTTCTCTTTTATTAAACTAACTCGTTTTGTTTTCAATTGATTGGATTGCACGGATATGAGGCTTGTCATTACAACAGTTTATTCTATTAATACCGTAATATTAATATTGTTTTGCTATATAAAATTGAGGCTGTAACTACGAATATACATTTATGGTTATCGTTTGCCCCGAGTTAGCCATCGTATGTACATTAATTTTCTTTAACAGGTATTACCTTAAAACAGTAAGGTTAAAATGAAATTGATGATCATGTACGATTATAACAATAAATCTTGTAAAATTTGTATTAACACAGTATCGTTCTTGCCAGTATATTATTTTCTTTTGCATAATCAATGAATAATACCTTTGCTATTATCTATCAGTGTTTTTACACCGTGGCCAGAACTGACCAACTCTGACCATAGCTATTAAAATGATCATAAAAGGAAATTCACTTGTTAAAGCCTTTCGATAGTAAGATATTATATGATCTTCTCGAAGATGCGTGATTTCTTTAATTAGATCCATATTCCTTCGTAATAATGACTTTACAGGCCTGTTGTAAATTTAATGTACATTGTTAATAAATAATAAAGATTTCTTTTGTATTTCTTAAAAACTGACTCGGAATAACAATAAGAGCACATTATTTATAAAACGACAGGTTCTATTATGATAATTATTTGTTATCTCAGATTCTAACAAAAATGCCTTCACATATTGCATTTATCGTTGCTATCACCTCTGTAAAAAATAATCACCTTTTCTCATATGGTCTTGCTAAATATAAAATTTCGAATGAAATCTCTCAAACCATCAGATGGAAATATTTTTTTGTTTGAACTATAGTATAGGTGGGCAAATATAATTATTATAAAATTATAATATAAATAACTAACTATTTTAACTAATTTAAGTTTAATTAAGATTAGGTTAGAGTTAGAGTTAGGGTTAGAATTAGGTTTATAGCTTAAATTAACTTAAAATTAATAGTTTTTATATTATCATTTTATAATAAGTATAATTTGCCTATCTATACTATAGATGATCCATATTATTACTATAAAATTTTTAGATATTATAGTTTTTATAATACCCTTATAGTTTTATTCACATATTTTTGCATTTACTATAGAAAAAAATTTACAATGTTACAAATTTATATAGAACTAGCATACGATTTTGTCAAATATTAAATCAGCCACATATGTACGATCATATATTGCACGCTCTATTAATGCGCCAATATACAAAAATGCCATTCTCTCCACATCTTACGTTCCTGGTCTCGCGTGACAATGTTGCGCAGCTATCTTATTTGTTATATCGAAAAACTAATATAACCACGAAACTCACTTAAGCAAAAGATGTTTAAAAATCTAATTAGGGTAAACATGACTACTCATCATTATAATATATATATATATTTAAAAATATTGTGAAATTGTCAAAATTACAGTATAACAAAACTAGTTCTAGCAATCTGACAAATTACATCTTTGATTTAACACATACAAATAATTTTGGTATTGTGAGCATCTCGTGGGGGTATTGATCGAAGATCGGAGTTGTATTATATGCAGAAATAATGATATAATTAATTGAAAGTCAGAATGTATTTATAAATAATAAAAAAAAATAAAAAAAGTAACTTGTATCTTGCAGAAATACATGTTATTCATCACTGTATTATAAATACTATGGAACCTAAAGATATATTTGCTAAAGCTCATATAAATACTTGCGCTATTGAGTTAGAACACAATATTGAACCCTATGCTAAAGCTTATATTGATAATAATGTTGTAGGATCAGAACACACCTTTGAAAATTGTATAGATAATAGCATTGTGGAGCCAGGACATACCTTCACAACTTTCGCTGAAGCATGTGCAACAATAGAAAAATATGCTGCACAAACAAAGACTGTTATAATTTTGGGTAAAACAACAAGAAATTTAGATAATAGTGGTTATCGGCAAGCTCTTTTTGTATATGAAAGGCAAGGAAAATACAATAGAACAAATGATGTATATAGGTCAAAGCGAACTGGGTGTCCTTTTGCAATCAGTATAAATTATCGTAAACAGTCCCAACAATTTATTATAACTAAGTTTTCCTTGGTGCATAATCATAAGCTTTGTTCAGATGCTGTAAAATTTAGCACTATTGTGTGCAAACTTGATAAGGATGATCTTGGCTTAATAGAAAGCCTTCATGATAATGGACTTAGGACAAAAGATATTTTTTCTGTACTAGCTTCAGTTAGCTCCAAATATATTCACAAACCTAATATATATAATGCTGTGAGCTGTCAGTATCAGCACAAGCTTCAAGGTTTAAATGAGATTAAGATGCTCTTTAAAACTCTATATAGTGATGAAAATATCATAGAATATGCTGCATTAAAAGACGTATATGGTACTGAACGGGATCAAGATAGTGAATTTGTTTAGGGAGTTTTTTGGGCGTATTGTAGTGCATTTTCTGAGTTCGTAATAGCAAGAGATGTTTTAATTGTAGATGCGATATACAAAACCAACAGATTTTCTATGCCATTAATAGTCATTTGTAGTATTGATTGTTTTGGATCTACTTATCTATTGGCATTTGTACTTGTTTACTCTGAAACAAAGGATTATTATTGTTGGGTTATGCAACAGTTAAGTAAGGTGTTAATTAGGTTAACAG